TGTTCTTGAATAGGATCCACATACATTAATAAGCGGTACTAACTCAGTTGGGCTCGAATGCGGTTTAGCAAATCTATTATTAGCATTAGGCACTAAATTGGAATTTGGTCTAGTGCTCCAATGAAACGTTCCAGTTCCAGTGGAAAAAGGTCACTTGACGTGGGTTGATTCCAGTTATTTGATTGGCTTATATTAAAAATTGTACCCGAGTTATATGCCGGCAATCGAATACCTGGGTTGTGGTTATGGCTATTTGGGTAATTTTATTTTTATTCAGATTTAATTTAAAAGATGAATATATATAAAGTTCATCTATTAATCTGAGTATTTAAACTATTCAAGTTCATGAATATCTATTATTTACGTGTATTGGGTATACTAGTATACTTGTCAATCACTCGGATAGACTGTAAATTCACCTATTAAATAACATATATATATATATATATATATATATATATTATCTGGTATAGTTACTAACAAACAGTATAAGGCTCGCGCGGTAAACATAATTCCACCTTTGGACTACTCCGGTCCATGGACTGTTCCAAACAACAATTAGAATAATAAACAAAATGATACCTTTTTCTGTCTGAACACCAAAAAGGTTATCTATTCTTCCAAGTTTATATATTTTAATAATGGGCATAAAATTTTTTTAACCACCAAAAAATATGAATAAGTTGGTAAAATGGTATGTAAGTACGAACGTATGTACATACTACGCAAACGTTATGTATAACAACAACGTTGGGAGGATATAAGCACGCGTAAATACTGTGAAAATAAAATTTGAAGGATTTCAAGGATCTTAGACCAAGTGTATACATATGAAGGGGGACGCAAAAGGAGTTGCATAGCATTGGTATGGTGAAATAAAAACATAAATATTACGTATATAATCTATTCATAGTAAACAGGAACCAGGCTGTAGTTGGAGTTAGTTTAGGGTTAGAGTAAGGGCATTTGAAGTAATTGATAGGATGCGAATTAAGGGAAATTGGGTTAACTGATGAGAGTAAGGGCAATTGGGGTAACTGATAAGATGTAAGTTGGTATGAATTTCACACGTATGAAAATCGAAAGATTATCCTACCCTACTTTGTTTGTGTTCTAACTACACACCCCTACGTCGAATTCCCTTAATAAACCCCGATAAATTTCTATACGTTTACCATTGACGTGAATAACAGGTATAATATACACACACTAGTAACAAAATGTATAATCTATGTTAGTTTGTGCAGATCTTTTCTTAATACAATCTCGAAAAATCTATAAGTCAAGCTAACGCTAAATGATTACGTTTAACCTGATTAGGGAAGAAGAGGAGTTAAAACCTTTCTTTGTTAATACTAATATTATGTAGTAACGTGTGCTAAATTATATACGCATTTAATCCGATTTGCCAAATTATTGTCATTAAGTCAGCATTACATATTAATATGTCGCATCGTCATTTGAGTTTCCTTGATTTTTCTCTTGCAATAAAATTCATAATAAGTAGTAATACCATATTCAATAGTGTGTATTATACAATGTATGAATATTCGTATCCCATCATAATAATAATTTTGTTTATCGGCTTGATAATATTATTTCTAGCACAAAGGAAGAATCCCAAAGTAATATATTCATTTAACTCTGTGTAATCTTTTGTTTTTCAAATTTATCGAAAATTAGTCACTAACAATTGGCTAATAAATAATTTCGTACTAGAAAATTAATTTCCTAATTTTCCGAGACATATTATTCATAATTGATTTTGGGTTTGACATAATATTTTTGTTGAAAAATAGTCGCGATGTTAAAGCACTTTACATACCTAGGTAATCATGATCTTTGAAACGTAAAATTCAAAATTTCAAATTTCAAACTGATAAGTAATTCAATAATAATCTTTTATATAGCATAATATTTTTCTTTGTGCCAATAGCCGTGAGAATGTTACTTGTAACATTCATAATTTGTCGAGAAATCTTTAAGAATCCAGATTTTCACGAATGGTTTACCAAAAACACAGTAAATGCTGTAATGGTTTCATCATTATCACTTATTCATATTGAATGTTTAAAATTACTTGATGCAAGAGTCGCAGGATTTGGTAATTTGAATGCACCATTTTCTAAAGTAGCAGAAGGATTCATCCTTTGGGGCGTAATGTGCACGATTTTTGTTTGTGACTTACCTCAATTAGCCGTTCAGGTATATTTTATATGCTAATTTTTTATTTTTAATATTATTGAAATAATCAAATATTTTTCGATCCTTAATAGGTTATTTATAGATCTTCTGTCAAAAATTATGATATAATTCCATTTCTTACATTAATAATGGGAGTCATAACAATTTTTCAAAACATAATGATTTTAATTTTTAATTTGATGAATTCTTTGAGCAAAGATTCACAGCTAAAAGACGGAAAGTCTCGTAGTATCGGTAATGCATCCTCTAATATCCAACAACGACCTGAGATTAAAGCCCATAGAAGCTCTATAGCGATGGGTCCTATTGAAAATGAAATAGAGTATTATGAAGATGATGAATTAAAAGACGCGTTTTCAAGAAGAGCAAAAAGTTGGTGCAATAATAATAATAATAATAATAATGATAATAATAATAATAATATATTTAGGCATTGCGCTGAATCAAGAGAAAGAAAATCAAAAAGTTGGGATCAGTTAATTAGGAATAGTAGAGAGTTTAATAATGAAAGAGACAGTGCAATCATCAAGAAGATTGAGAAAGAAAAAAGGGTTAGTATTATCGAAAATAGGAATACATTCGTAGAAGAAAAAGGAATTATTATTAATATTGGAAATATTGATGACTCTGAAAATAACACTGTTAAAGATGATGATAATACATGTACCAGCATTATGGTCGAAAAAAATACAAAAATCAACAATTAATAAAATAGTAGTTATAAATAGTGGTTTTTTTTTTTTTTTATGTAAAACATTATCCTTTATCAAGCCTACTATTTTTTAAGTTGCCTATCTAAACTAATCGAAAGAAAATCGCTTCAGTAAATATTAATCACTTTCAATCAACTCTAAATAAAAGAGGCACCTCTGAACAGCATTTTCAAAAAAAATGGTATTCTTGTATCTGGACTATCTAACACTAGCATTGAAGAAAAAAAGAAAGGAATTTATCTCTCAATCAATCCTAATCCTATAAAAACATAGAATTATCTACAGAACTAAAGAATATTAATTCCATGAAATCGTGGTCAGTGCATTGGTGTCTTATGTATATAGCAATGACAGTAAAGTTATTTCTTTATATTGTTTTTAATACTTCACTGTATATTAACTTATTAAAGATATTTTTAAATGAAACTTTACGTTAATCGAAAAAGATTATTAATCAACCTTATCGTTATAAATTTATCTTAGACAAGCAAAGCCATTTTTTATTTTAGCATAATTCTAGAATAATCATAGAATTTCGAGAAAATAAATAAAACACCTTTTTAATTCTTATAGTGTTTTTAACCAATCCTAGCTAGTTACGAAATACACAATTATAGATATCTGATAAAATTATATATAGTATATCAGATAAAAGATAAATTGTAAAAGCAATTAAAATATTATATCGATATTTAATGAAGCTATAAATAACTAATACGTATGCATAATCTTTTAAGAACGGTTATAATGGAGAAACCATCAAATAAATCATTGAAAAAAAACTTGATTTATAATTAAAAACTACTGTTATTTAAGGATTTTAAGATAGCGGTTTTGATCATTGTTATCGTAAAAATCTTTATAGAATCATCAAGAACCTATCCGTATTTATACCGATCTTCGAAAATATGTTATGCAGAATAATAGTACGTGCATCAATGTATGATCTCCTGTCTGATTAAATGTCAGAATGTATGCGGTTCTTTTTTGTCTTGTCGTACGTACGTATTTCCCCGATCCTTTAGGTTTTAACTTTCGTCATCGTTTACAAAACTTAAAATGAATAA